GGACAGTCGTCGGAGGTTCTACGGGAACAAATCCGAGAAGTCCATGAGCTTGCCAAAGAAGCTCGTCGGAACTCGCCAAGTGGATCGTCGCAAGTCCAGGAGTTTGCCGGAAGTCCGCAGGAGCATCACCGAGGGTTCATCGGATGATCGACGGAAGTTCGCCGGAAGCTCGCCGGAAGAAGCGATTGACGCACCGGAGCAAGTTGCAGTAAATGTCTGAGGAAATATCATAGTTAGCACAATGATTAAGTTGGAAATGGGAGGTGATCCCATTAACTTAATCTTGGGGCAATTGGGCCCCTGAAAAACCCAAATTGGGTCGAATGGATCAACCCATTCGGACCCTGATTTCTGCCAGGCGATTGAACCGCCCCAGCCAGGCGGTGGCACCGCCTGGGCTCAGTCTCCGAGCGCGACTGGGCGGTGCAACCGCCCCTGACAGGAGGTGGCACCGCCTGAGCTCGGTCTTCGAGCTCTGGCAGGAGGTGCAACCGCCCCTGACAGGAGGTGGCACCGCCCAGAGGCTCAGTCTTCGAGCTCTGCCAGGCGGTGCAACCGCCTCAGTCAGGCGGTGCAACCGTCAGATCCCTGAATTCCGGGAATTGACAGTTTTGAGCTCGAAATTCAAACTGGGTTGGGGCATATAAATACCCCACCCTTTCAGCACTGAAAGGGCACCCAGAAACCACCGAAATTCTGATTTTACTTTGTGATTTTTAGAGCTCAAAAGTGTTGTATGAGTTGAAAGTTCTTCTTCCTCTTTTCTTCCAAGTTCTAATTTGATAAGAGAGGAAAAAAAATTATGTAAGGGTTGTCTCCTAAGCCCGTCAAAAGGAGTGAAACTGTAAAAGGGTGGTTGGCCTTCGCCTATTGAAGGAAGGCCTCTAGTGGACGTCGGTGACCTCGTCGAAGGAGGAAGCCAAAAGTGGATGTAGGTCAAGATTGACCGAACCACTCTAAATCTCGGTTTGCATTTACTTTGAGCATCTTATCTTTACTGCAAACCTCCTCAAAAGCTTACTGCCTTCTGCGCATATACGATCGTGTTTCAAGCTCTGCATTTTCCGAATCGGCGTTTAGACGTAAATCGTTTTTATCGTACGAACATCATATTTCAGTTTGCGTTTACGTTCTGATTTCTATCATAACTGCAAATTGCCTTTATATCTTTGCTTTAATTGCATCTTGCTTGGTTACAAGTTAAAGTGATTTACGAATCGGATTTTCTACCGAAATCGCTCTTATCGTACGAACGCGATTTTAATCGTCGAAAGTTTTCTGCTACACTAATTCACCCCCCCCCCGCCCTCTTAGTGCTCTTGATCCTAACAAGAAGAAGCCAAGCCGTCACCTCTCCGTTACCTCCTGTATCGGGATTGTCAAGGGAGAGCAGCGCCAGATCGGGAAGCGTCGAGGTTCTCCCTCCTCTCCCTCGACGCTTCTTCTTCCCTCACCGCGGCCAAGTTGATACTGCCCAGTAGTGAGCGGTCTGCGTACTGGTCTGCTAGCGGACCAGTACGTACTGCCCGGTACGGGCAGTATCATTTGAAATTAAAATCCTTGATCATGACCCTATCAACATGCACTATCAAAAGCATAATGCATATTAGACTTAGAGTACAGTGGATCTAATGTAGTTCCACAATTTTGTAACACCTGCTTGAATAATGTAGAAAAAAAACCATTATGAAACTATCTATTTGATAAGGAACTTCTGTTTTCAAGGCAAACTTGTCTGATTTTAGAATTGTGCCTTCTTCTTCATGTTATTATCTTTTAATTGGCAGTTTAAGATACTTTTCATTCTTAAAGATTGTTTAATTGCTTTTTAAACCATCTACAGGTATGACTCAAGAAATTCCACATTAGAGTGGTCCATTCTTCTTATTGATCATTCCAATCGCAGGTACAACAAGCATGCCTCATGCAATTAAATCTATTTCACATTTGAAATTCCAATCATTTGCTTATACTAATATTTTTTTCCTTTCTAATTTTATATCTTTTCAGTGGATCAATGGAGTTTGTTGTGCCTCCAGCTGATTCGTCATTATTTTTCCCTATTGCTATTAGCTTTACTGCTGCAAGCACATATAGCGATGTTAAGGTGAGTAACTATTATTTTAAGGCAGTCAGCTACATTTTAAGGTTTTGTTGCAAACTCTGTAAAGAGTTTATTTTTGACCTGGTCATGAGGCAAACGATTTCTTTTGTGGAGAGATGTAAAGTTTCTTAGGACAATTTAGTCTTATTCCTTGTTATGTAGATTGTTAACCAGTTTAAAGGTCCTTTAAGATCCTAGTTAATTTATTTTTTTATAGTTAAGTCTGAAACAGAGCCAAATCTAATAGCATTAATTTACTTGTCATATATATACATATATTAATTATTAAGTGCATATATATCCATGGATTGAATGGATTTTATGACTGAGCAATTGTCTCTGCTAGCTCACTGTTCCCATAGGATATATTGATGTTATCGGGGTGAAAACGGGGATTTAATTTTTGTTAGCATGCCTTGTATTTCATAGCATGTCCACACATTTAGCTGACACTAGCCATCATGAAAATAGCACCTTTCCTACTTGCTTTCTGTGACCAACACCAATTTCATGGGTGGCTGCAGATATGAGGGGATCAGAGTAGGATTGGAAGTTAATAAAGCTATCCTTATGTATTCATTCCCATAATGAGTAAAGGAAGATGATAGTAGATGGATATTTTTGGCAAGTTCGAATATCTTTTTAAAAGGATGTTTGGCATATAACCTTGGCATGCCCTGTTCCTTTTTCTGATATTGTGTCAACTTAGTATGTGCTTGCCAACATTTATCAACACATACTGAAACTCCACCAGGGAAATTCCATTTGCTCTCAGTTCCATGTGAACAAGTAAAGCTAAATGGGATTAAGTATAACTCATGATCTTTTAAAGCTTTCTCCACAACTGTGTATCATAGACCACAGTATAATATCCTCTCATCTGGACCACTCTTAGTAATGTAATTAATGGGTGGGCCCCTTTTTAGCTAGCATCTACTTACCTTTCCTAACACAGTACTCATGAATCCTTTTATAGTATTGGACTTTGCCTTTATTCTCTCTAATGAATTTTATTGTAGTCTTACAGACCTATGGTATGCACTATTTGGACATCTTAATCAATTGCTTCATATTTGAGTTTATTTTCCTGGAACTATTGGTCTCTGTATATTGATTATGTATGTATTTTTGAGATCTTATTACAATCTGGTGGACACAAAACACAAATCTGTTGCATCTAGTTGAAGAATAACTTAGTAATGTACTTTTGATCATTATGGCAGAGAACTCTATATTGCTTTTCATCTAATCCAAATTAATCATGGACTATTTTCTTATGGATTTCTGGAATTGATTGTAAGAATCTATGGTTTTCCTTTGGCATCAGCTTCCTAATCTGTTCTTGAAGATGACTTTTGAACATGCCTGCTTTTTGGTTATAGTTCACAAGCTTAAGCTTTGCAAATTTGCCACAGGTTGTAAATCTCATGCCACTCAGAGGTAATGCTCCTCCAAAGTACTCGCAGAGGATTCAGCTGATCACCGACACATACCAAGTGATTTAAATAATGATGGAAATGGTGGCCATCATGAGAAGCTCATTTTGCTAGATTCAATATCTCATCACAGAGGGACATTTTAATTTTGTTATTCATAAATTTTTGCTATACAACTGCTGCTGCAACTAGACTAAACTCAGTTTGAATTTTGTTTTCTCCATTGTTCCTTTTAATTGATGGATCATGCGGAAATGTTTTATTCTTCACTCTTGAGCAATTCTTGCATTTTCCTTTGTATATATATAAATGTTTCATGGAATCATAAATTTTCTTTTCTGCTGCATTTACTTCGTCTCCTATACCATTACCACCTGAATGAAAAGGGTAAGATACCATTAATGCATCTTATCTTTCGGGAAGAACGAGAAATTATAAGTATTTAGATTCAGCTCTTTGTAATCGATCTGGAAAAGTTTGGGAAAGTTGGCAACAATGTCTGTTGGTGTTTGTTAACGTTAGATTTGGCTGTTTCCCCACTGTGCAAATCTGGAATTGCCTTCGTTATAATAGTGGTGTTGGATTTTGTAGGAGTTTTGTCGAATTGGCGTTGAGATGGTTGAGCAGTTGGTAGTTTGAGATGCTGCATTAAGTTCTTAGAAGCTAACTTGTTTAACTGATAAATGCTGATAGATTATATCGAGTTTTTTGCCGACAGAAAGATACTGCTAGCGGTTTGCTTATCTTTTCCTGGTTGGAGATTCTTTTGGAAATTACTTCAAGAAAATTTTCCGCCTTTGATCGCGTTAGCAAAATGAACTTGCGACTCATTCACTTCTGTCCACATCTTCTTTCACTCGTCTCACCATAATTTTCCACAACTTTCGACTTCAAACCAATCCAATCATACTTCTTATGGAAGGCAGGGAATTAGTTCTTATTTAATGGTAAGCATACTTTTGCCGAGTGTACACAGCTCAGCTACTATGCTAAGCACTTTGTCTTATGCTTCTATGGCAGCAACCTGCTCTCGGATGTAATTATTTGCTGACCGACCACCCCCTTAGGCACATGATGATGACATGGCAGTTGGTAACCCATATGTCATTTCCCCCACATTCAGTTCTTCCATATGTCCTCAGCTGTTCTCATGTGCAGTGTCTGAATCATTTGGTGTGACCAATTATAGATTATCCTTAGATTTTTTTTTTTTTTAGACTTAAAAATTTTATATTAAAATTTTATAATTATAAAAATGAAACGTTAAGTTTCATTTACTCTTAACTTCATCTGTTTTACTACGTTTTCGATGATGGTGAGCGATGACATTATTAGGAGTCTCAGGTGGCTGTTGTAAATGAAGAGGGAGAGCGATAACGAGAGGTTAGACGACAACACAGATGTTGATGCTTAGCATCTAGGTCGACGTTGCTCGATAATTACGTCGATGTCAATGTCGAGCAACTCTTTCGTCGCTCTGCATCGACAGCGGCATCGACATCGATGTAGTTGCAAAACAATGTCACTCTACATTTTTATCGATACCGATGCAGATGTCGAACATTATTTTCATCATTCTGCATTTGCATTGACGCCAACGTAGTTATCAAATGATACCAACATAGATACGAAACGTCAACAACTACATCATCACCTCAACCCTCATCACCACTCTCCTTTCTCATCCACAATAATCACCCGTGACCCCCAACAATGTCATTATCTATCATAAAAAATATAACTATAATGTTAAATTATCTTTTAATTTATCATTTTCATGCTTCTATTAATAAAACTGATGATATTAGAATAGATGAAACTATATATTTTCCTTTCATAACTATAAAGATTTCAATATAAATTTTTTAAATCTAAAAATAAACATTCTATAAAAATTTAATTACAAGAGATAATATGTATTTAATTGAACGTACAGTGATCCAAATTTCTGCTCATCTACCCACCACTTTAGGCAAACAAGGAACCCTATTCCAATTAGTGCCTTGGGTTGTCGAACTCCTTATCTTTATATGGAATTTCTAAATCGTATAAAACATCTGTTCATCTATACATATGCTAAAATTACCCCAATCAATCCATAGTTTGACCCTCGTTATGAGATTGGAGACAAGCCATAGGTAATTTTAGCCCCATTACCAAACTTAGGAATCCTATATACTGTTGTGTAAGCGTTTGCAAGGACAAGTTTGTAGCAGGTACAGCAAAAACAGAGAGCCCAAACTCGAAACAATTCCAGTGAAGCAAAAATAGTTACTAGATAACTGAGAATACAAGGAAAGATAGTTCAAGCATAACAAATAATCAAAGATTACCAGAGGATTTAGGTTATGGAACTTGTGCTAAACAACTCCCCGGAACCCCTAATATCCAACAGTTACATTGAAACTCACATCACTGATCATTATCACCTCCCTTGTGTGGATACATACTCAGCATTTATGCGTCTCTCTCACCCTTGTCTAGCTCTTCGAGGCTTGTTTTTCTTTGGCCTTCTGGATCTTCAGAACTTTCTTAACAATCTTCTGCTCTTCAACTAAAAAAGCTCGGATAATCCTATAAAACAAACAAAAGTAGATAAATAACAGCAGCAGCAGCAGCAAGCCATAGTGTCCTAATTATGGCGAGAGCTATATCTATCCTTTCCAGCAATTGAACTTAGTGTAATGCAATATCGTAAATTAGAACACACAAATCGTTAGAAAAGTGTAAATGAAACCAGGAATATAGTTTGGAAGCATCGACTGCTAACCGTTCTCTGACAGCACTTCCAGATAAGACCCCACCATAAGCACGGTTCACAGTCCGGCGATTTCTGGACAACCTGGACCTCTTGTACTGAGTAGGTCTTAGATGAGGTATCTGAAAGTACAAATCAAACATGGTCAAAATAGAATATGCAAACATTATAGTGGCTAGTAACTTTGACATACTGCCACTAGTATACACCAACCCAACATATAGAAACTGAGAGCCATTCAAGTAAATTCACAACATTTTAGTCACCACAAAGTAAGTTAATTGAGATGGCACAAGTAGCACTTGGCCTGACAGGTAAATCAGTATTTACTGGTCCAACTGGCATTTTAAACCATGTTGATCATAAAAGAATCAAAAACAAAATTTAGAACTCATATCACTGAATGGCTTCATGTGGGCTTAAGTGGTTGTCTGCTAACTGATGCAACTGCACACACTTAAAAAAACATTTGTCATGGATGGGCCATAAGTAACTGATTTGCTGCATAATAAAAGTAAAGCCTAAAAAGATAAATAGCTTATTGACTCGAAACAACTGTCCAATATAATTTTATAAAATTTAATAAATGACTAAATGACAGCAACTTCTGCTGCTTATTACTGTTGATGTTTCTTCACAGATTCCACAACTCACTTGCCACATTGTCATCTATTAGAAGTATTGATGTGGCTACAGGGTTATGATTAAGTCCTTTATTGTACTACAACCAGACAACATACATTCTAGGTTAAGCTTTTTGTCCAATTTCTCTATTTAGTTTTCTGTAAAGCTTAGTAGGTTCCAATGATTTAAAAAGACGCTTGAGCGCTCACCTAGGTGCTCGAGGGAGGTCATCTCATATAGTCATATTCCATTTGTAGGAATAAAATAGAAATTGTCTCGGGGAGAGATGGCTGAGTGGTTGATAGCTCCGGTCTTGAAAACCGGTATAGTCTAAACAAAGAACTATCGAGGGTTCGAATCCCTCTCTCTCCTTTTTTTGCTTGTTGAATAAATTTGTTTCTTTATTCATTTGGAGGCGAGGCCCGAGCGCCTCGTTTAATGGCCAAGCGATGCGCTTCAAAGAGGCGAGCGCCTAGGCCCAGGCGCCGAGCGCTTCGGGTGAGCGCCCGATTTAAACCAGGTGACCGACCGCAGAAGCGATAGTGGAGAGAGGCAACGAGCGCCCGATAAGTTGGTTCGATTGAACCAACTAACGCACGCATATCAGCCTCCACCTCCTCGCGATTTTCCCTAACCCTACACCCAATTCTGCTGCCTCTCTCTACCGTTGTCGTTTCCTCTCTTCGCTAGCAATGCTATCATTGTTGTTGCCTCTCTCCGCTGTCGTTGCCTCACTTCGCTACCACTGTCGTTGTCGTTGCACTCCACTACCGCCCTATCACGGACAAAGTTCTAAACAGGATGTTTGATGTAATACTTATGTATGTCCGTGTCTTTCTGTTTGTTCATGCTTTACATAGCATGTAGAGGAATGATCGAAGTCTTAACAACCTCATTTTAGTTGGGTTTGGTGATCTTCTTAGGCTTGTAAATAAATATTGTGTCATGTGGACACTTGTGAGAGATTCGGTCAGTAGTGAACCATTTTGACCCTTTGTTATACAACCGTTCAGAGCTTGTAAAATCTGTTTATAATTTGCATTGTCTATGAAGTGTTCCTAAAATATTTGCTTGTGGGTCCTAAATGAAACGCTTTCTCTAATTCGTTTTCTCTTTTGTAGGTCCTAAAGGACCATGGGAGGTTTTGGGGAGGCTGACCTTTGCGGACGAACACGCAAGGGTGTCGTACGACTTAGGCAAAATCAACTAAGTCCGTGACAGATGATATCAGAGCAGGACAAGCACTTATAGAAACACTTGACGTGCAAATGTAGGGGACCTAGTGGGACTGCATTGAGGGCAGTCAGCACGCGTGACTGTTTAAGAGAAAACGAGCATGAAGATGTAAGGAAAAGGAGTCGCTCGGAGGAGCGGGCATCTGAGATTGGCATTCAGAGGAATAACTAACCCTTCACGCAAGAGGCACCACGAGAACAAGCAAGCTTGGAAGAATGCACAACGCACAAAGGTTGGGATGGCCGAGTTCGAGCTACAACTCGACGTTGACAACTATACTTAATGGTGCTCAAAGCAAGCGAGGCACTTGATAAAGGATGAGACCATGCAAGGTGGAATGAGTTGCTCAACGACTGAAAGAGTTGTGCAAAGCTCACAGAGGTGAGGGGAATTGCTAACTCGAAGAATTCGGTACTCATGCATAGGCTTGTATGTGGACGATGAAATGTTCGCGGCCATCCCAAGGCGACTAAAACTCGACGCCATGGAGCATTGAAACTTTTTCTTCGACATGTGAAGGATACGTCTGTTGGAGGCTAAAGTGTGCAACGAGTTCAGCATGTTGCTAGGCCTTGAGTGGTGCAACGGGGGCTGTGTTGACATGGAGTCGTAATCTAGCATTTGATAGAGGAACTAAGGTGACTCAACTTA